GAATCAAGTCTCTTGTTGACCTTTTTGAGAATTTGACAAATATTTCCCCGGGAAGCTTATTTTTCTTTATATATTCTGTTATAGTTAGTAAGAAGTTTTGAAAAGTCTCTTAGTCTCTTAAAGTCTGGAAATATCGCTTTCTAGCTAATCCGCACCGCACTCCGTCAACATCCGCTCTTTTCAAGCCACCCCCGCCTCCCGCTTTTAACTCAGTTCTTTGGACGTGGGGATTCCCTCCCCCTCCGCTCATTTGGGGCGGCTTTGCTCCCGACGTTCAGATGGCAGCTCGCTAAATGGTAAGTTTACTCCCCTTCTTACTTGTGTTTCTTTAAGAAGTAGGGAAGATCGGTCCTGGCGGATCTCTTGCACGCTCGGTCCAGTGTGCGCCTCTAGGTGCCATTGCTGGCTCCATGCCGCAAGGACCTATCGGGGCAAAGAGGTGCCTCAATCCCTCGACATTCCACCTTGGGAGAGGCACCTCTCGCGCCCCAGGCTGCAACCCTCCTACAAAGGGTCATGGGGGTCCAAGATCAACTCAGACCCCTCCCCATCAGCACGTTTGTGGGCCGCTCACATCAGAGCAACGATGGAGGGCACCCACTTGTGAGTCGCCAAAAACCGGAAGAACCAAATGCCATTCATTTTTATGTTGCCGTAATCATATATAATTTCTGCTTCTGTGAGGAAATGCCATTTATTCACTGTTCTTAAATGAGTGGCTTGCATACATCATACTGCACATACATCGTTCCATACCACTATATTGCATCTAATTGCAGTAGAATTCGGGCATACTGCTTTTCCTCTGTATAATCCAATCTTTTGCCTAACTTTAGTGAAGTACAAAGCCTTGTAGAAGTGTTTAAAATACCAGAATCAATATTTTGATGTTACATTTTTTGAGCTATTGTTGTGCGGAAGAATCTTTTTTATGATTCAAAAGCTTGCCTCTAGCATTCTGAGTAATAGCTATTACAAATTAAACCTTGTCTCAGTTGCTCAGTGTCTTCTGCTCTGGGACGCTTGAGAAGTATTTTACTTTACTATCGTACTAGTGTGGTTGGGAAAAGGCTTGGATCCAGCCAGCTTTTTCACTCCATCTTGCCCATTTCCCCTCTGTAATACAGTCTCCAACCCACACTGCTTTTGTCCGCGAATGTCAAATGATCTCCAACATAGCCTTGGCAGCGGGTCAGAGGGTATCTTTCCTTCCTTCTTCACCAGCAGAAAAGCTGGTTGGATCCAACCCAAGTTATTTTACCATATAGGGCTATGCGTTCAAGGCATTTCTGCCTTTTCCTCACTTTTGAACGACTGCCAATCTATCCAGGGTTCTGTTGGATCTTGTGCAATACTCAATGCTTAACTTGTTAGAGTTTAACTTTTTTAGCTAAAGGATTTCTTTCAGTATCCTTTTATACTCAGGCCACTTCTGCACTGTCACTTTTGTCGCTCGTTTTTCCCTGTTGTGCCCCACGAGCAGAAATCACTGGTGAATCGGAGCGAGTAGGTTAAGGTGTACTGCACTGAACATCAGATTCATTCCTTTCTCTCTGACCAAGTTTAGGTTCTGTGATTCATCCACTGATGCTTCTGTGCAGTGATACCCTGCCAAACCTTCATCAGGCTCGGTAGGAAAGAGGGCTCAAAGGCAGTGTGAAACCCCACCAACCCCGCGTTGAAAAGTTTCCAGCATTGCTGCCACCAGTTGTTGTTGTTGTGCTACACATAAGCAATTATTATCCACAATGCACATTAAGTGCAACTGCTGCCGTTTGCCATTACATGGCAAACTGAGTCTTTGTTTTAACTGAATTTCTTATTTTTGCTATTTGTTTAGTTTAGATTTTTGAGGGAGCAATTCTAAACATGTCTGTTCATAATTTATGGTCATATTAATAATCAGGCCTTACTCTCAGGACCGTACCCTTAGGATTGCATCCCTGTAGTGCTACCCTGAGCTTAGAATGGCATTTTAAGACTGTTAAGGAAATACATGAAGTCGTAACTTCTTGTGCACTAGTTTTCACTTTGGTATGCTAAAGTGGGATTGGCTTTGAATTTCATACTGTGTTCTGTTCCATGGAATGTTCTGTGGAGTCTCAGCTAACTTTGTCAAGGCTGTAGTTAGTTCATCTTCAAATTATCCCAAGAAACAATAGTGGAATATTTGGAAACTGACTGCTTTGGGCATCTGAGCTTGGTTACACTGCCTGTATGAGCTTAAAAAGTGTATATGCCATGCACGAGTTGTAGCATACTAGTCTTGGTTTAACTTATTCACAAGTAAATAACATAAGACACATACTGGAGGGATCTTATGAATATGCACACATTGGATTTATTGGTTTTCTTTGTCAGTTAAAGAACTGTGTTTCATTTAGGTATATATCATTCAAGTGAGTGTTGGGAGCCATCACTGGATAGTCAAACATCGATATAGCGACTTCCATGACTTACATGAAAAGGTAAATATTGTAGTCTTAAAATGTTAACTATGGTCTACTCACTCAGCAAATTCTGTTGCAGTGAATACCCTTCTCTGGCACAATGTGCTGGCATGCGTCATATAACTGCATAAAAAGGAATGTGAACCTATTAAGTAAACAGTACTCTCGGGCTTTGTTATTTTTTATTTGCTTCATTTATATATCCCACCTTTCTCCCCAATGGAAACCCAAAGCAACTTACCTTGTTATCTCCTGCATTTTATCCTCACAACAACTATGGGAGTTGGTTAGGCTGTGTGACTGGCCCAAAGTACGCTTCCAGGGTAGAGTGGGGATTTGAACTTGGGTCTCCCAGATCCTAATCCAGCCCTCTTGCTTCCACACCACACTGGCTGACAACACTTACAGTCTGAAATAGTTACTATAGACAGCCCGTATAGTCCTGTCTTAGAGTGACTGCTTTTAGCAGAGGAGAAATCTGTATTTTCTCAACTGTTTGTTTTATTTTTGATAATGTTATCCATGAAGTTTGGGAGTAAGCACAGCCTAGTATAGGGGTTCCCAGGATTTTCAGGTTTGCAAGCACCTTTGGCATTCTGACACTGGGCAGTGGGTGCACTTACAAAATGGCTGTCACTGGAGATGGAACCAGCCATAAAGTGTCAGGAAGTGGGATTATGTTAGAGTTGCCAGCCCCTGGTCTGGGCGGGGGTCCCCCCACTTTTGTGGGCCTCTTTCTGCCTTCGTCCAGCTGTCCTGCCTCCCAACAACTAAACACAGCCTATCACACTATTGTGTTGGACCACTCTGGGTGTGATAAATTTGCCTGAGATTACAAAACTGGGAGAGAATTACCAAGCAACACTATATAGTTGGAGAACTCAGTTTGGCTGGCTGGGCTTGTGTTTAAGAACGTCCATTCAAAGGACCTTCTTCTCCAAACTCTCATTCTGGAGCTGTGCAAATAATTTTGAAAGATGGGTGAAATTCCCCCCTCTCACCCAGTAATTAATCAAATGGCACTAAACAGACTTGGGGGGGGGAGCAAAATATCAGCACTGCACGGGGCTTGGTGGCGGTGGAAAGTGCCATCCAGTCACAGCCGACTTATGGCGACCCTGTCGGGTTTTCAAGGCCAGAGACATATTCACAGGTGGCTTGTCATTGCCTACCTCTGCACAGAGGGCCTGGTTTTCCATGGGTGGTCTCCCATCCAAATACTCACCAGGGCCAAGCAGTTCAGGGCTTAGGTTGGGCTTGGTGGCGGTAGAAGGTGCCATCAAGTCACAGCTGACTTATGGCGAACTCCTGGTGGGGTTTTCAAGGCCAGAGATGTTCAGAGGCGGTTTGCCATGGCCTGCCTCTGCATCCCAGCCCTGGTATTCCTTGGAGGTCTCCCATCCAAATAGTAGCCAGGGCTGAGCCGGCTTATCTTCCGAGATCTGACGAGATTGAGCTCGCCTGGGCTATCCAGGTCAGTTAGGTGGAGCTTAGGTGTACAAAAGAGTCTCTGACCTCACAGCCTCCCCATCACTCAGAGAAAGCAGACGGGATTTCTGTGTGTGAGAGTGGCTGGGATCCTCAGTGAGGATTACTCACTGTGGGGTGCATCTTTCTCCCCTCCTCCACAGCAGCCCCCCCCAACCCTGCTCCTTCATGGTGCAAGGCTTCAGGGACAGACAGAGTGCCCCTATATACTTATATCACATCCGGGTTTCTGGAGGGCATGATGCCAGGCACTACACAACGTCATTTCTGACCCTGAACCTCCCCTCAAGCACCAGGGGATGCTGGCCGGCATCTCTACTGACACCATGTATTAAAACGGGATTGCAAAATTAGAGGACTGAAATAAAAACAGTGGCTATACATCCCCCCATAAACAATCCCATTTTACCGAACATTTTCCTTGTTACTTTTACTACCACCCTCTTCCTTTTCTAACCCTCCCCCCCGAACAAGCAGTAGTTGAATTTTATTAACTATACTGGTGGTGGTGGGGGGGACACTATCTCCTGTTCTGTACATTTACATTATGACCTCCAGTTAAGACAATAAGCTAAACTACACAATTTACCTTAAGCACTTAAAAACCTATTAACCCTTTTCCCATTTAACACCCTGCATTCTAAAAGTGCAATACGATCAAATCAGACAGCCTCATTTCCCCTCAAGCTGCTCTCTCTTGATGGAGGGGGAGGGGTGTGTGTGCCTCCACTGCTTGCCAAACAAGCACCAGGAGAAAAGGCAAGAAGCCCAGATGGGCCAGGTCAAGGCTCGGTGGATTCCTCTCAGGGGCGAAACTAAACGGAACGCAAAACTGCCCAGCCAGCCATTGATCGCCGGGGCTTCCTTTACGGCAGAGGGGAAAACAGCTGGGGAGGAGAGGCCATAGCGGCGGGATTTCAGAGCGGGCACGTAGCTCATGTCCCACTTGGGGAAGGCGAGGGGGGGGGAGGAATTGTAGGAAGCGGGGAGGGTTGCGAAAACCCAGGAACTCAGGCTGAACTGCAGCTGCAGCAACAGGCCCGGGAAGAAGAAGAAAAAAATCCCCGATTCAGCAGACTGAGCTCTGCAGCTCCAGCGAGAGACAAGCCAAGCGCTGCCAAGCAAAGTCCTGCTCCCTCAAGGCCCTAGAGGGAGTGGGGCTCCTTGCAGCAGCTGCTGCTGGCTTCCAGCTCTCCGTGGGAAGGCTCGGCTGGGTTCCCGCCTGCTCGGAACGGCAGAGGAACTTCCAAAGCCTGCATGCCCTTTAGGTCAACAGAAGCCAGCCTAATCGGAGGAGGACATCTCGTCTGCACAACACGGTGGCACACTTAGTTATTTTCAATGGATTCCTCGCTTTTCTCCGACCAAAAGTCGCTTCCCCTCCTACACCTCTAGGGTTGCCAGTTCCAGGCAAGGAAATACCTGGAGATTTTGGGGGTGGAGCCTGAGGAGGGCAGGGTTAGGTATAATGCCATAGAGTCCCTCTTCCAAAGCAGCGATTTTCTCCAGGCGAACTGTTCTCTCTTGATGGGAGGGAGAGAGGGAGGGGGAAGCCTCACAGGCCTCTCATCCTGCCGGAGAACGAAGCCCCCCCTCGCTCTAGCGCCTACGAAAGGATTATCTTGAGAGCGGGCAGAAGAAGGAGGAAAGACTGAAGGGGGTGGGGTGGGTGTTTCTTCCCACGAACAGCCATCCTCCCCACTTCCCAACTTCAGACAGCGGCGCGTCACCTTTTGAGGAGGCCACCCCGAAACACAACGGAGCGGGAGAATGCAGCCCGCCACCGGGGTTGTGGGGCAGCAGACAGCTCTGCCATGGTTCTTCGACGGCGAGAGCAGCCCTTCAAACCGAAAGTAAACCTGGGTCTCCTTCTCTCTCTCCCTCCCCGCCTGTCTGCCTGCTGCCTGAGCTGAAAGGCTGAGCGGTGGGTAGCCCGGCCCTGGTCCTCGGAGGCAAGCCCCCCTGAGCCCCACGGCTCTTACTCCCAAGTCAGCGCGCTGCAGACTGCAACCTGAATGCCCAGCCTCAGCTCGGCCTCGAGCACCCCAGCAGCTTCGCGTAGAGGGGAGGAGGACCCCGTCGCATTTTGACTTGGGGGAGGGACACTATTTCTGGACGGTGTCAACCTAGACCCATGGGGCAGCAGAGGGAAGAGGCGTTGAGGGGGGCGCATCTGCATTTGGAGGGTTGTTTGCTGCAGGGCTTCTCCTCCTCAGCGCTGTTCCCAGGCTGGCCCGGCGGCACCTTCCTGCCAAAGAGCCTCCTCCACAGAGATGCCTCCCCCCACCTCGGGCGGGCACGCTGTGGGATCGCTTCGAGATGGGGCGTGGGAAAGCCACTCACCTCCCCCTGGCGACTCTCTCCCAACCAGAGCAAGCTTGCTTGGCAATCCTAGAGCCTCGGCCGCGCCATTAGATCCAGGCAGGGCGGGCGGGAAACCCCTCCAGGGTTCAGGGAGGGGGTGGGAAAGGCCGGGGAGAGCTCAGGAGGCCCCGCGCTACCACGTGGGCCTCCAGGGAGGGGGTGGGAAAGGCCGGCCAACCGGAGAACTGAGCGAAGACTTGCAGAAGTTGTGTCCCACTTTGTCTCACGGCCCGAGAAGCGCACCCAGCTGCGCACCCCGACGGCGGGAGGGGGGTGGACAAAAGGCGCCCAAAGGGCCTGATCCAGCCCGAGTGAAGCCTGTCTGAGCACAGGCGAGCTCTCTCGCGCGCTCTCCCAAGCGTCGTCGGACTCGCCCCATTGGTTTTCGCTTCTTAGCTGTACAGACCGAAGCGGGTATCCTCGGAAGCCTCCACAAGGAAGCCTGCGTGTCAGGGCTGCGCTGTTCGGCAGCAATCCTCCCAGAATTGCATCCCATACAACGTGCACACCCGCATCTCTGCCAGCCATTCCCACCAGGACATGCCGCTTAGGCTCGGGCCGCGAGTTCCAATCATGCATTTCCCTTCCCTTGGCCAGTCTCTCCCCCCTCCACCCCGCGTACAATCCCAGTGGGGTTGTGAAGGGCACGCGGGCTGCGCCGGCGGAGGCTTGCAAACTTTCCGCCCTGACCAAGAGAAGGAGAAGCCCCTCCTGGCCGCCCCCCGACCCCAGCTCCGTCCCAGGCCCTCTGAGGTGTGTCTCCTCACGAGGAGCTAGCTCCCACGCCAGGAGCCTTGCCCTCCCGAGGGAGCTGGCTCTTGCTCACCTCGGCCAAGAAGGGCTCCATCGTGGCGGCGGTGTCCTCCCCCCCAGGGCGCTCACTCCAGCAGCGGCTAACCAGCGGATTCCCCCTGCAGGCGGCGACTCCCGGGCGGGCTTTGTCCCTCGGCGGTGGCTGCGCCAGCACAAGGCCTCCCACCGGCGGCTCCCCCTGCTTGCTGCCTGGCCAGCCGGCCGGCCACCTTCCTCTGCCGGTGCCTAAACCCAGCCGGGTGAGACAGGGCTGGCTGCTGGGAGCAGGGGGCGGGGCTTGGTCATGTGACCGCCCCGCCCCCCGCGCTGG